TGTCTAAAATGATAGAATAGAAAGTTTTTATTTCTGCCTTTAGTGACTGTAATGTAGAACCTAAGATACACATAAAATTTTAAATATGAACTTAGATATTCACCATTGGCAAGACCACAGCTTTAACTTATCAGCTTCCTGTTTTACAGGTACATACACTCCTTAGCTGGTTATACAGCTAGTGGTTTAGACATATCCGTGCATTTGATTTTATCCATAGTAATGTTCCAGCCATAATGATTTAGAGGAGTTCATGATTTCTGACATACACAATTTGTTAATTTTAACAACATATTCCAGTTTGCCCTGTCTCTTGTTTTTCAGTCATACAACTAAATCAGTTATATGGACACACACATACATACAACTTGTCCAAAAAAGAAAAAACATACCCGAAAAGGCTATCATATGGAAAAGATTTTGATTTACTCAATGCAGAGAAAGAATTAGGAACAGTGAATAAAACACTGACAAGACAGAGTTTAGTTCAGCAGAAGATATAATTTTCTTTTTTATTCAAACTTAAAATGTACGCTGAGTTACCCTTGCTTAGCTAATGAATTCCTTATTACTAAGAAGCAGCTAGATGATAATCTGTTAGGAATGTCACCTCTAAACTGGCACAAGACTCAATTAGGTCAACCTCAAAAAGTTCTGCCCAGATCAATAACCAGTATCAGATTATTCCATAAACCAACTACTAGGTAAATGAAATGAATTAAACTCCATTTCTATGATATGAAATGGCACAGAACGAATCAATCACAGAACTTCATTATTTTTTAGCATAGAAATTTAAAACTAAAAAAAAAAAACCTCCTTACTCAAACTTCTCAACATTACAAAAGTAAATAACTATTTTTAAGTACGACCATTTGATATATAATACATAAAATTATATATATGAATTTAAATATTTTAATATTTTAGAATAAGAATGATGAAAAAAGTATTTCCCCTTTTTCTTTCCTGTCCTCCTTTCCCCCCCACACTGTGCCTAAGTTAAAAAATAAATAGCATTAGCTAATTTTACCCTCAATTTGGCACTCTCAAGAATATATAAAAAATGATTATTTAAAAAAACTGGATCTAAAGCTTTGTTTTCTTTAAATTTTTCTAGACTACTACAATAAAATTTATAACAAATGAATGGAATTACTTAATAATGGTTAAGCATGGTATAATTAAAGGCTCCCCCCCAAATCAATTAGCTGAGACTCGCCATAATAATTTATATTAAAATACAGCTAATGGTCCAAAAATCTGTACCATCCTCGTCTTAAAGAAATGAATAGGTGAAAATACGGAGTCATTATGGCTCCCTTTTTTATTTATAAACTGATGATGGCATTTCCAAATTCAAGAACTCTCTGCCTCTCCCAAGTGTCCAAACACAAGCAAGCAGAACAAAAGATGCTCAAATCCTGAGTCACAACTGTGCATTAAAATACCAGATTTACCTGTAAATGCCCTCAAAATGTATGTTCCTGTGGCTAACTCTCTGAAAATCACTTTCAAACAGACTATGGTTAATACTGAGGAAATTAAAGCAGAACAGGACTTAGTTTATTAAGCCTACAATCAACTCAAAATACTCTTAGGAAAAATTGATTTAAAAGCCACTCAACAGTTAGTTCTCATGACAAAATTAGTTCTCATGGCACAAAAAAATTACGGTATAACCTATCATTTCACACACTTATTGTAGTCATATTTTCATTTCTAAAGTTCTATTCAAAACCTTCACCTAAAGTAAGAGCTACTAGAAAAAGAAACCTTTATCTGTTACTTTCAAAACATTCTTACTAAAACACATTCTGGAAATAAATTTTGCTAAGTGTGTGTTAAGCCAGTGGTTCCTAACTTTCAGAAGTCTGTGAATTTCCAAGAGGGCAATACATTTTGTGACAAGAGAAAACTGCATGTTTACAAGTAAAGATATGCATGTAACTATAGGGGTTCTCAAAGACAGTAAAGTCTGAGTACCATACCCTAAACATTCCTGTAACTATTCACAGCAGATTACTTAGAGTGTAGTTAGCTACTGTTCTTAGGTTAAATGTCCATAAAACAACTAAGCCTATAAATCCTTGATGTCCTCAGGTAGAAGAAAATGGCGATGTGTACAATTCAATGGAAACTTAACATGTGCTGAATGTTTTTAATAACTTAAATACCTTTTAAACCTAATTACCTAGGAATAAATTCAAATAACTTTTGTATAAAGTTTTACATCTTATATTAAGGCTTTATAAAAATGCAAATCAGGTTTTAAAAGTGATAAAAACACAATTTAAAGAAGAAACTTTCACTCAGGATCTACTGTTGTTTGAGGCATGCTTTTAATTCTTTGTAATTTGAGGAAATTCAAAATCTAATTATCTACTTAATTTTGCTCAAGTATTTTCAAATTTTTGGTCAAAAGATGTATTTAAATGTGTTTTTTTCATATATAACGAAAATGACATTACTCTAGTTTGCATCTGAGTGCCAAAATATTTAAGGTTTCATGTTTTCTTAAAAAAATGGTATTTGACATATTTTCAAGGGCAATAATTTCCAAAATAGAAATAAAAGAGAAAAATGAAACTTCATAAACTAATCAACAGGTTATATCTACAGTAGACAAGAAACATTAAAGGTAAATTAAATCACCACTAAGACAGGTAAACAAACTCTACCACCTTTTTGACTCTACAACTTTAAAGTGAAAATACCAAAAACCTTTCCCAGGTCTTGAAAAAAAAATAGCATTTGTGGGTAAGAAGTGATAAAAGACACTGAAGGAAGACAATTTTTTTCTCTTTGTTCATCTCCAGAAAGTGTTAAGCCATTAACTAAAAGAAGGAAATATGAATAATAAATGCAAAACCATTCATCATTCCAGTATTTGTGGAAAATACTTTAGCTTATTAGTTGATTTCCATTTGAATGAAGAACAATTTTTAAAAATAGATATTCAGGAATACATTTAATGTGATATACTGATCTATTTCCAATGGTTCCAGACAGTAATTACTTCCATTAATAGGAAATAAAATGACCATTTTAACATTAGAACTATATAGGAGAGTGGTTTCTCAGCTAACTTAATGTTTTATATTAACTGATTTCATCCTAAATTCATGTAGTTGATAACCAAGACCAACGAAACATCTACCTACCCACCTACTGAAGAGCTTAAAGAAGTAACAAAGTAACAAAAAGTAACAAATTTTTTAACTAAATGTATTCAAGATCTAAAATTTCCTTTGCATTTTTAACTCAATATTTTAGAAGTTTATTTTTTTTAATGGCAAGCTTGAACTAATTTGATCAAAGATGTAAGCAAAAATTTACTTTTGAAACAAGGGAAGATGTGTTGTTAGGCCAAAATAAACTGGTACTTCATTAAGAGAGCCAAAGTTTTTAATTGGTATATGGATATCATGCTTGTGGGTGCTTTATGAACACTGCTCAGAAGTTTGGACAATCTCTAAGAAATTTTAGATGTAGAGCTGACATGTAGATTATGCTCATGTAAACAATGTGAACACACCTCAATGGGACAAAAATCATAGTAGCAAATTACTTACAAGTAAAACTTTTAGGCTACCAGGGATATTCAATTCTGACACTGCTCTCTAGGAAGAAGGGAAAATATTTAAAAATTTAACTGAATCTGAAAAGAGCCAGAGTAGAAGAAAAGGTAAGTAGACAGAAGAGGGGGGTAGGGATTCAAAGGGAAGGGGAGCTAAGTGTAAGGAAGAGAGCAAGAAAGAAAAAGATGGCAGAAGAAGGCATTGATAAAATCCTTGGCAACACAAGGTTATTCCGCCTCTAAGTACACTTGATACTTTATATGTTAAACCAGATGCTCTGTTCCATAAAGTTATCAGTACTACTCTTATTCTTTATCTCAAAAAGATCCTTGATTTCGATATTAGCATCAAAACTGATGACTCCTACTAACTGGATTAAGCCCTGGAGGCACTACTAGTTTCAGACTGATCTTTGGCTTCAATTAGTATATACATAATTCATCTTATTTCTGTTTTTTTGAAACATCCAAGATTAAGGGATGATTATCCAATACAGGTTCTAGAAATATAATCTGTGTGAGTAGTTTGAACAATTTATATAGACAAGAAAACCTACTCTGAACTTATTATAAATTCAACACAATTCTCCACATCTTAATTTTCTAATTAAGGTACACAATAGGGATGAGTGATGCTATTTTAGAAATTGTTCATATTTTCATATTAAAATAAATGTTTATATATGGAGTAGAATACAAAATTTGTATGAATTTTTAAGATAAAAGAGAAGACTTCAAAGAAAATAGGATTGTGGAAGGGTCACCCGGGGTATAAGTGCATTTGTCCAAATTCTTCTGCCATTATGAGTGAACTTGGAAAAAAAAATGATCGAAAAGTACTATTTTCTCCACCTTGATGATCTCTAAATACATTTCTTTCCTACTATTGTTTATAATAATTTAGTCAACTTAAAATTACTTCTATAGATTTATAATCAAACACCTGGAAGGCAATATTTCTCAACAACTTGTATTTAGAACGACACAGAATTATTTTTTTTAGAAATTTACTATAAAAGACTGTGAAATATATACATACACATATATATGTTTATCTCAATAGTCTATTTCTGATTTTTTTACAGCAGCTTTTGAAAGAAACAGCATTATTATTGACTTTAAAAAATAGAGAAATAGTAAAGTCCAAGTAGATATTTTTTCTAATAAACCATTTTCTAATTTAAATTTATTTTTGTGCTTTTAAACATGCTTATATATAATTTTTGTTCATATTTAAATTTTGTTTTAAAATTTTCAACTACACATTCAATCTATGGTACCAAAACCAAGAACATTAAGACTCATAATGTGTCCAAATGTGAATCATTCAAGTATACAATTTCAGTTCTAATAAACTAAAAGCAAATAGTCCTTACAGATTTGATACCTGGAACTCACTGGAAATAGTTACTCAACTTACCTGGTGCTAATCCAGCAGCAGCAGGACTTCCCATGGATGGGTGAGAGAAAACTTGAGAGAAGGCAGACATATTTGACTGGGACACGTTACTCAGCCTGGAGGTTGATCCTCCTTTAGGAATAAACTCGCTTGCAGTAGGATTTGGTGTCTATTTAAAAATCAAATATAGTAAGTTAACACACTGTAAGTCTAAAAAGACACTGAATCTATTAGGCACTATTGCACAGTGATTGGAGTAAAATATTTTATTGAAAGGATGTACAGCATTTTTTAGTTTGCATATTTTGGAGTGGTATAATGAAATTTCTTGAAGGAAATTTTTTAATCAAATTGTGAGGATTTTAATCATTTCATTTGCAGGATATAACCCCAGAAACGTAAAATTTGCCTTTGACGGTCCAATATGCATCATTATCAAACTATCCTAATACTTTAGAGAACTGGGAGGTTGAGACTACCTCAAAACTGAGCAACAAGTTTCAAGTTCAGAATCTTTAAACCACTTCTATCAGAATAAAGGTCAAAAAAGCCTTTATTCCAAAATTAATCACTTCCTTTTTTAAAATACTTAAGACGTTTCCCCAATAATATTGTGCCATGTATTTAAGTAACAGAGTAAAGACAAGAAAAACATTTAAAAACCAGGAAAAGGTGGGAGGAATCAAGTTATTAAAAAAAAAAAACTAACAGAGGCTCCAATGATTTCAATGCCCACAAGTATCACACTTAACTTCTGTTATATTTAAAGTCTTTTACTATGAGATTATATGGAAAAAATTTTCTTCACAGTTGAATTATGACAGCATTTTATATATTCAAGTGCCATAGTACTTAAGGCTGTAAGAACTACTGGAACATTATAAGACTGGATAACAAATTCAAAATGGCCTGTATTTTGTCCACCTGGAACAAATAAATACCCTAAATTTTTCTGAAATGGTGACCATTTTAAATTCTAGATGACTAAGCATAATAAAGATTCAGTCACTCTTCCCAGTAATGGTATCATCTGAATTTAACTTTCAAATGGTCAGCCAATGAGATAATTCAGTATGGCTCACACTTCAGCCCACATTTTATGCATACATATAATAAACTAATTTTAAAACACACTGAATCATGATGCAGAGCATTTAATCACTTGATCATTTGAATGTAAAAATCCATTTCCACCATAGAGAGAATAAGAAGATGGAATTCCTGTACAACTCGAGAACAACTTCCCTAATTCAATATGACACTGCATACTGCCAAATTAGAGTTCAAATTATTAGATTTGGAAGATTACAAGTCAATAGACTGACCTAAATTTAAACTTTACAACAAATGATAGCTTACTGGTTACATGCCAGCTAACATTAAATACAAAGTAATAAAATGTAGAAGAAATGTTAATCTGGGCTTAATTGGAAAAATACTAAAGAATAAACCTCTTTAACTGCCAAATTTACTAGAAATTGAAATTAATGTAACTGAAAATTTACACTCTAAACTGCAACCTTTACAGATTCAACAACCACAGATGCAAAGAAACTTACCCAACAGTGAATTTTAATCAAAAAGTTAAAAAAAGGGGATCCCTGGATGGCTCAGCGGTTTAGTACCTGCCTTTGGCCCAGGGTGTGATCCTGGAGTCCCGGAATCAAGTCCCACCATCAGGCTCCCTGCAAGGAGCCTGCTTCTCCCTCTGCCTGTGTCTCTGCTCCTCTTTTTCTCTGTATCTCTCATGAATAAATAAATTTTTTTAAAAGTGAAAAAAAAAAAAGCTTAAAATCCTCCTTCCTTTCTCTTTCCTGGTTTAAGATGGCAAAGCATTTCTCTAAGTGGATAGTTTGGGAGTTTGTTTTATTTAATTCTGAGTATTTGAGATTAAAGAAAAATAAATGGGTTTAAATGGCAGGGAAAAAAAATTACACAGGATTAGGTGCAATGCAAAAAAACCAAAATTTAGGAATTAGAGTTATTAACAGGTAATAAAAATTCTTGCATTATCTAGGCAGATTAGAGAACTATCAGAAATATTTAAAATAATAAAAATTATAATAATGAGAATACTTTTATGATTAAATTAGTTAACTACAATTAAAAGATACATTCTTAAAATGACTTTTTAATTTAAAATATAAATATGGGCTTTATATAGTAACAAAACAGTATAGGCAAACACCTGTAACATGTTCACAAGAACAATTTTTTGAATAAGGCAAAACTGGTTAACTAAAACGAGAATCACATTAAAATGAAATATATGTTCATCAGAAAGTATACAATTTCTTTTAGCTTTAGGAGGTGAAGGTTACATCTAGAAAGAAGACTCAAGGATTTGGAATGTATAAATTTTCTAACTTTAACACCCCTAAAGAAAATGGAATAAAAGTTTTATTACCCCTGCCCTATGATTTATATAATCCTTATCTAACTACCTAATAATGTTCCTATAGTATTACATTTGTTATTTCATCTACAGGTAATTATATTTATATTCATCATTTCTATTTCTATTCTAGTTTTTTTTCTAGTTTATATTTTAAATCCTAATTTTCAGCATTCCTTTAACCGCTCTAAATGCACATTTGAAAATAAATCAATGTTTATTCACGTAATAGACATTCACTTTGAGAGAATCTATCAATAAAAATAGAATTTTGGGTTCTCATACACTTAAATTTACACTGCAACTTGCATGCCAAAAACAATCAAGTGTTTTTTTTTTTATAAATTGACACCATCCCCCAAAAGTTAGCTATGATCCCTACCTGGACTCTCTAAACAGAAATAGACTAAATCAAGAGTCCTAACATTTAGCTTTAAAAGCCCTGTTGTAATTATTACTATACTTAAAATAAAATAATAATATATCAATGTAGATATCCCACCCAATCAAAATGATAGAGTATTTCCCATCTGGTAGGGTTTTTTGTTTTGGTTTTTTACAAATGAAGTAATTTTCTGATGAGGTTGGTAACTCAGATTTAACACAATTTTATGCTTTTTTACTATTACATGATTCCATGGAAACTGTTATTTTTTAAAGTAAAATTCAGTATTTAATACTTGGCTGGACTCCACTACAAAGAGAACACTTATATTAGACCACAATAAATGAATCTCATAAATTAAGGGACTAATTAATAGTGCAACCAAATAAAAAGTACAACCATTAAATATGTTTTTTTAAATTAGCCCCGGTGGCTCAGTGGTTTAGTGCCGCCTTCGGCCTAGGGGACTGATCCTGGAGACCCGGGATCGAGTCCCGCATCGGGCTTCCTGCGTGGAAGCCTGCTTCTCCCTCTGCCTGTGTCTCTGCCTCTCTCTCTGTGTGTGTCTCTCATGAATAAATAAACAAAATCTTTAAAAGAGGAAAATGGGAAATTTATATTAAATTATAAAAGAACACCAAATCTTATATAATAGTTCACTGCAAATATGTCAAAAAGGTTTGTAAGAAAAACAACGTTGTTTTAAGGTGACATATGATTGAGAAACCACTAATGTTCCTGAGAATTGTTCAGGTTTTTCAAAAATCACATAATAAATCAATAAAACCCACTGAATACCTTGTGGTACAGATCCTTATAATGAGCTCAACTTGCTTTACTTGTCCTAATATCTTAAGTTGCTATTGGTAATCCCTCTACTCTGTATGAAACATGACCTGCTTTTTCTTAACAGTTTTATTTAGGTACAATTGACATATAAATAAACCACACTTACTTAAAATGTAAACTTTGGTAACTCTGGTCATAGGTAGACAAGGAAACCATTACCCAAATCAAGATAATGAATATACCATTATGCCAAAAAGTTGCCACAAGCTTCTTTTAAATCCCTCCCTCCTATTCCTCTCTACTCCCCTACTTTGGTCTTGAGGCGACCACAGATAAGCTTTCTGTCATTTTAGATTAATCTGCATTTTCTAGAATTTAATATGAATGAATCTAACATACATATGTATGTGCTGGTTTTTTGCCTAGTTTTTTTCACTTGACATTAAGATTCATCCATGTCATTGCCTCTCATCAGTATTTCATTCCTTTTTTACTGATTAATTTTCAATAATATCAATATATCACAACTTACTTTTTCATCTGATGGACAAATGTTGTTTCCAGTTTTTGGCTATTAAAAACAAAGCTGCAAAGAACATTCATGTACAAGTCTGTGTGTGGATATGTTTCATTACTCTTGGAAAAATAGTAGTGAATGGCTTGAATACATGGTATATGATTATATAACCTTTTTAAAAAATTGGTAAGCTGTTTTACAAAGTGGCTGTACTATTTGAAATAGTACATATTGAATATGTCCACCAGCACTCTGTGGAGAGATCAAGTTGTTCTATGTACTCAGGGACATGTAGTTTTTGGTCCGACTTTTATATTTTAGAGATTGTAATAGGTCTGTAGTATCTCAATGTGGTTTTATTTTGCATTTCCCAAATGATTTATTTGCCATTCTGTGTCTTCTATCATGAAATGTTCGTATTTTTTTTTTACCATTTTGATTGGATTTGTTTTTTATTGCAGAATTTTGACAGTTTCGCAAAGAAGTCCGTTGTCAGATATGTGATATACATATATTTTCTCTGGGTCTAGGATCTCTTCTCACTGTCTTAACAGTATCTTTCAAAGAACTGAAGTTCTTAAACTGATGAAGTGAAGTTTATAAAATGTTTAAGGGTCATGTATTTGGTGCTGCATCTAACAAATACTTGCCTAACCAAAGGTCACGGATAGTTTGTTTTCTTCTGTAAGTTTTGTGGTTTCATGTTTTACATGTAGGTCTAAGATCCACTTTGAGTTAATTTATTTTTAAAGTGTGAGGTATGAGTCTAATTTTTTGGCATATATTCGATTATTCCAGCACTGTTTGCTAAACAGATCATTCTTCCTGAACTTAATGGCCTTTGCTACTTTGCTGAAAATCAACTACTTATTTGAGATTACACAAATCTGTAGATCAATTTCGTAAGAATCAACATCTTAATAATGAGTCTTCAGATCCATGAACATGATGTATGTCTCCATTTATGTAGGTCCTCTTTAATTCCTCTCAGGAAGGTTCCAAAGTTTTTAATGTACAGGTCCTCAGACCTTTGTCAGACTGATCCCTATTTTATATTTGATATTATCATAAATTATATAATTT